TTTAAAATCACTTTCACAACAGTTGAAAATTTCAAGTTTTCAGATAATATTTAACAATGGAGAAAGGTTTTTACAGGAACTAATAACAAAAGGAGAACTGAATTGCATAGATGAAACAACTGGTCTTACTCCTGTTATGGCTTGTGCAATTTTAGGACGACGTGATCTTGGATTAAAATGCATTGAAAATGGTGCTTTCCTTAACGCGGAAACGAAATATGGATTAAATACTCTAATGATAGCTTGCATATTAGGGCATGAAGAGTTTGTTGATATGTTGTTAAAAACCTCAACAGATATTAATTATCCTGATGCCACCACATCAGCAATTAGACCAGGAACCAAAGCACAAGAAGACAGTGCATCTAGCACTGTACTGAAACAAGCTAACATCAATGAAGCAAACAGTATGGGTATAACCGCACTTTTGTATGCGGTATTAGCTGACAGTGAAGAGATTGTTGAGAATCTGATCAGAAGTGGTGCCAGTGTTAATGTATGTACTCAAGATGGAGAAACAGGACTGCATTATGCTACCATCAAAGGATCAGGCGAAATCATACAAGTTCTGATAGCTGCAGGCTGTAATGTTGACTCTACTACCTTAGATGGACAAACGCCACTAATGTGGTCAGCGCATTTTAACAAGACTGACGCTGCACAAGTTTTATTTGAAAGTGGCGCAAGTGTTTACAAAAAAGACAATTTTGGTTTTACAGCCCTGCATGTGGCTGCTATGAATAAACACAGGGAAAGTGTTGCTTTGTTACTTAATCATGCTGCTGATTGTTTTCAGCTTGACAATATGGGACATACTGCTTTGATGGTAGCAGCTGTCGTTGGGGACGAATACATTGTTAAAGAATTCATAAAACGTGAAAGAGAAGAATCAAAATTATTGGTAAATTTAAAAGACAAGGGCGGGCGAACTGCTTTATTCTTTGCTTCACTGCTAGGGCACAGGCATATTGTAAAGCTGCTTATAGAAGCACAAGACAATCCTCATGCATGTGATTATAGTGGGACGGATGCATTAATGATGGCATGCAAAAGTGGGCATGAACAAGTTGTGGAACTGCTGTTAAAGATTAAACCACACCCACTGGATCGCAGATATTTGTTGGCATTACAAGAAGCAGTCAGTAGGCATCACACAAACATTGTCAATATTATGTTGCCAAGAAAAGAGAACATCAAACACCTCCTAAGAATGCAAGAAACTTTACCAGAAGAAGTGAAAACTTTCCCACTTCTGCACATCGCTGCTGAAAATGGTGATTTACAGATTTTGAAGACTTTATTACGTGCTGGGGCAGATATTAACAGTTGCGATCCATTTGGTCAAACAGCACTTCTGGTTGCTGCAAATTCTAAACATGATGAAGTAGTGCAACTTCTTATTCACCATGATGCAAATATAAATTCTTGCGATATTGGTGGAGATACACCTCTAATCCTGGCTTCACAAGCTGGAAGTACAAACATTGTAAAACTGTTGATTAAAAAGCAAGCTGATTTAACTTTAAAAAACTCGGTAGGAAGATCTGCATTAATGGAGGCTGCAGGTAATGGTTTTCTTGAGATAGTTGAAATCCTGTGTGATACCAGCAATGACATTGAAACAAAGGAGGTAAATGGATGGACACCATTGATGCTGGCTGCCCAGGGTGGATTTGCTAGAATTGTAAAGTTTCTCACTGAAAAGGGCGCTTTAGTTGGAAACAAAACTAGACAAGGTGTGACGGCTGTTATGATTAGCGCAGGAAACGGAAAAATAAAAACTACCAGACTGTTATTTGAAAAAGGAGCAAACATAAATGAAAAAGACAGAAATGGAAACACACCGCTTTTATACGCAGCTTCTCAGGGGCACAGTCAGATCGCAAGATTCTTGGTTGAAAAAGGAGCAGATGTAAACATATATGATCCATTTCTGAAACAGTCACCTCTTAGTTATAGCATTCTATTTGGTGATGTAGCAACATCAGAAATGCTTGTAAAAGCTGGAGCCGATGTCAACATAGTCAACACAGGTGGACGCAGCTGTATGCATTTCGCCGCAGCTGGTGGGCATTATCCGCTAGTTGAACTTCTACATGAACATGGTGCTGCTGTCGATGTTATAGATGCAAGTAGGAGAACTCCTCTGATGTTGGCAGCATACAAAGGAGATGTCAAAAGTGTCCGTTATTTGATATGCAAAGGAGCTGACTACAATCGTTGTTGCTCTGATGGCTGGTCGTCATTGATGTTATGTTCGCAGGTGGGACGTGTAGAGTGCATGAAAACCCTTTTGGAAAAAGGCGACGTTAACCTGGAATACAAAGAGAAATTAGGACATTCTGCATTAAGTATAAGTGCAGCCAACAATAGATACGATGCTGTGTGCTTGTTGCTTAAGAAGGGGGCAAATACAAACACAAGAAACCACGCTGAACAGACACCACTGATGCTTAGTAGCTACAACGGAAATATAAAAGTTGTTGAAAAGTTGATCAAGTCTAAAGCATCACTGAATTTAAAGGACAAAGATGGAAAAACAGCTCTGATTATTGCTGCTGAGACCAACAGGCTGGACATTGTTGAAGTTTTACTCAGAGCTGAAGCTGAAATAAATGCTACGAGCAATAATAAAGTGACAGCTCTGCATGCCAGTGTGCGAAATAAAAACTTAGAAATTGTTAAACTTCTGATCACTTATAAAGCTGGATTAGACATTGCTGATGTGGAAGGTAACACTCCCCTCATGTCCAGTGCCAGAAATGACAGTAATCTAATCCTGAAACATCTGTTACATGCTAATGCTGACATGAAAAAGCAAAACAAAGAAGGTAAAACAGCCACAGACATTTGTATTGAAAGAAACAACAGGGTGGCACTAAATTACCTGTGTCAGAAAGGCCCTGTAACCAAAGCAGAAAAAGAAAAGTACATAGCTGTTGCCACCAAGTGCAAACATACAGAACTTGTGACAATTCTAAGCCAGGCCAGAACCGATGACAGTCGCCAGACGGCAGGTGCACAAGATACTGGTGAGATATTTATGTGTCTGTGATCGCACATTTCATATTTATTGTCTGAAGCAGTTGTATATACATTCTCCCCATTACATTATCTTGTTCTCATCCTTAGCATCCGGACACCCAATTTTTGTTAATAGTATAGTAAGCACAAGGCCTGACAATTAATTAATGAGACCGATTTTATTGTGGAAAAAAAGGAAAACATCAATGAAGCAAAACATGTCATCCAAACAGGCACCAATCACCTATTATATGACAAATTTGTAACGCTCAACGGTCAGCAGACGATAAGTAACCAGCTAATTTTGTTTAGCTAGTGAAAGTTGCCTTGTTACAGATGCAGCATAGAGCAAAGGTAAAGGTTAAATAAGTTGCAAAATTAGACAATTGCGTTTGAGACTGATGAGATAAGTTTATGTCGATCAGTGCTTATCAGATTCAACATCATTTTCTTCTGCAATCATCCTAATAGTCATACATAGGTCTTAATGTATCCATTGGTTCTCTGGCTTTGGCAATGAGTTTGTCATTACAAACAGAAATGGGACGGCCCGGCCCAGCTTCATCTTCAATATTTTCTACATCAGCTAAAAAATCGTAAATACCACCACCTCATGCACGAGAAAATATTGAGATCAACATGGCTTTTGAAAAATAGGGGTCATACATTATTTTGTGAAGGAAAGGTTACAATTTGAATTTAGGGTACTACCACATTCAGGCCGCGTCCGTGTCCGACTCGTAATCCAATGCACCGCGATCGAAACCCACTGCGGGCTGCGTGGATTTTTATCGTAGTATGGGACGTCGCAGGTCGACCCAGCCTCAAATGGGTACCAGGATGGCTGTCCTGGGGAAGTAAAGACGGCCGGCGTAATGCTGACCACATTACCCACCGAGTGCTGATGGTCTGTAAACATATGGGCTCTCTTCCAATATGCCCGATACGCCTAAAGGCGTGGAAAGGGATCTTTACTTTTTTTTTTTTACTTGACCACATTCAGCCCAGTATGACACGACACGACTTAGAATACTTTACAGCCAAATACATCACACTCGAACTGTAATATCTGCTATGGGGTTATCTTTACATACTTGCTAAACGTTACTGATGTAATAACAGTACACTGAGATGTACATACATGTACACACATGACACATTATTGACACTTGAACTGTACACATATCTTTTGTTGGTGTCTTCTTTTAGATAGTAACTTATTTGCTGCTAATGATGATGGCGGTGATAATTTAAATGATTCTGCTGAGGCTGTCGCAGAGAGTAGAGACAGGCAACCAGGCTGCAGTGTAGGAAGATCTACCAGCACACCGCTAGACTCTAATGGGTACAGTATACAAGTTAATCATGAATTTTATTAGCCTTATACATTCGTTTTTACTAATAAACGTGAAGCAGTGGTAAAATAATGTTATCAAATTGTGGACGCTTTAAGTTAATTTTCTTTTTTTTTTATCTCCAGATACAATAAAAGCTCGTTAACACGAGCACGATGAAGTTAATATGAACAAAATGTTGGTTCCCAATTCGGATGCGTTATTAGTCCCATGAATGTTTGTTTTAGTTTTATTAAACACACAAACTCTTGATATGTCTGCTCTTAGAATTCCTGTTGAGGTTTTGCTGTGTTAGCATTTGTTTTAAAATTCAGAGAACTAAAGCCAGGTCCATAAACTCAAAAAATGTGAAAACGAATAATCAAACACAACAAATGCTTGAAACTAATAACCCATCAGCAGAAAATAAATTAGGAAAATATACCAGAGATAATGAAGAAAGGATCCTACTTAATGTGGATTATACATGAAAAATGTATTCACACACAAACGCACATACATGCACGCATGCACGCAAACACACACACACGTGTATGTGTACATACATACATATATACATACATACATACATACATACATACATACACACACACACACATACATACATACATACATACATAC